TATATATATATATGGGGAATCTTACATAATCAATTAGATGCATGACTGGTGTAAATTTTATCAATTATTTTATTGTTTAATAATTTTATAATAAATGTGAATTTTATTAATCTAATCTTTGAATTATAAATTCATATTACATTGTATTTTTATGTTAAATTTTAACAAAATTTTGTTATAATGAAACAATTTAAAGATAATAAAGTTATATATATATATATATATATATATATAGTATGTCAATTTTGATATATATGAATGAGATATCAAATCACCATAAATTAATGTAAAATTTTATACATATAATCTAGGGCTAGGGGTAAAACATTTTCAATTAAATAGTAAATTTTGAAAACTTTATATTTAATATAAAATTGTTGAATTGTATAATAATTGATAAAAATTTGTTCCCACTCGTATATGTGTAAATTACAATGATATAAACAACATTTCAACATAATATCTTGTGATATTATCGGAATCGTGCATATTATCCCAATATTTTTTTTTTGACACACGTGCTTCAGTTAATTTTATACAAGACGATGGATATACAATTGTTATGGGTATTCTAAATAAATATTATAATTCAGTTATGGGCTACATATAAATTTAAGTATATAGTATAAAAATAAAAATGAAACACCCTTGCTTTCGATTCAGTGGTGTCTAATCATACTTCTCCAAAAGTAAAAATAGAAACTTGAAAAAGTTCCAAACTCTGGAAACGAATGATATGTGATATATTTTAACAGCCAAAATTCTACAAGGTAGATATTAATATATTATGAATATGATGTGCGTAACATCAGTAAGAAGCTACGGTATAAAAATATGGTAGGTTAAGTAGAAATTAAAGTTAATATTCAATGACTGCAGTCTGGTACAAAATGTAAATAAGTCTTGGTGAGCGAGTTTTCAAGAAAACAGGCATTTCACCATTCAGAAAACGGAGTTGTCGCCGTGATCATGCAGTTTAATATCCATTTCAAAAAAGAAGCAAAATAAAGACACCAACCCCAACATTGAGGCAGAATATTTTATCCATAAGACATTTGAGACAGACTTGTTGATGCTGAAACCTTTTGAGTGAGATCATAGTCTTGTTACTCCAGTTGGTTGCAGGGAAAACCTGATTCATAGGGTGCACTCAACAGCTGAAAGTCTTGAAAGCGATTGCTGTTATCACAATCCGAGAATGAAATACACATGGTGGAAGGAGGTGGTGGTTGTTGCTGATCAGCATGCCAATATTCCGATGAAGGAAATGGTAACCGCTGGCTCATTGAGTGTGTTATGGCCTGAGTGATGCCAGTTGTTCGAGTGGAGTGGTCCAGGGAAAGGGACTTAGTCTCATATGCACCCCATGAATTGGTTGACAGAAGAGAGAGAGCACGGTTAACATCTTGTGTAGCATTTGGATCACATGAAGTATTGGGATCTTCTATACCTGAACACAAGAATTCTACCAAAACTGAATAATGATTGTTTCTTAATTATCAAGTCAGCATTGAACCAATCGTTCTAGCTGATTTTCTTAAAGACAAAACTTAGGTACAGTACTTATGACATTGTTGGTGTTGTTCTCTAAACATTTCATTTCAGTAATATGCATTTATATTTAATGCAAACCTAAATAATATATATTTAAGCAGATTACCAAGAAGAAACTTCTATTTTGATTAGAGAATAACACCAACAATATCTATAGTGTTGTACTCGAGTTTTGTTCTTTTCTTAATGATAAATTAATACATGGCTCGGTTATTAAGAGGTCAACAACAACCTGGAACATTACTCTTTGTTGCTATGCCTCTGGATGTTAGAAGGCCACTGGCATCATCAGAAATCATAGAGACAATACTTGGAATCTTGTTGAAGGCTTTTGCAGGCTTTGGGAGAAAATCTTTTGTCTGGGGGAGCTTGCTGCTGTGTATGTCTTGCCATGCTAAATTTGTAGCAGTCCTTGAAAATGCAAATGGGTTCATTATTTGCCTCCCATCTGCAGAGTAAACATGAATTAGATAAATGGATATAATAATACTCTTGTCATAAAAATGAACTTTTAGTGCTATAATCAGAACGTTTAATACTTTTATGTTGGTTCACGAAAGAATGCAAATAATTTTGCTTGATTGGTCGAGTGGATCACTGGATGTTCCTACTTGATTTTGTTGGTAATAATAATGTATTTCTAGTGTTAAAGAATTATCTGTTTAGTTTTTTTTTTTAAAATGAATTCCAATAAACTACAACCCAAGTAGTGACAGTGAATAACTAAACTTTGCTTTTGATGTTATGAGTTTTGACATGGGAAAAACAATTCAAAGTTACTATATCTCCTTAAAAATTCTCAAATATTAAATCTTCAAAGCAAATCCTTAAAGTGATTGACTACATGTTTTGGAATTCTACAATGCACCAAAATTCCCTTTATTCACGGGTCACAAGTTTCTAAGCAGAAAACGAAATAAACAGCAAAGACTAAGCACAGCTCAACAGCAAAACTAAGGAAAACAAACAACAGTTACTGACCAGATTCAGAAGCATTTATGATCATTCAAAAAAATAGGAATCATAAAATCACTAAAAAAGGAATTTCGGGTAACATCATTACGATGTAGGGAAAATGGGCCACATTTTTGCACAGATTCACCACATTTTGTTCCTCCACTTGCCTATATTTTTATCAGGAGTTCCATTCTTATAATTCTCCTAGAATCAAGATAAGTACCATGAATCACAAAATTGGAATAAATAGAAAAACCAAACCAATGAGCAAGAAAAAGCTAATGGAGTCTCCAAGGGAGGGGAGGGGAATGTTCCCGTTATACCATAGGGTGATGAAGACAAAGCCGATGGATTCAATTGGATTGCATCAGGCTGAGGTTTGCGGCGCCTTGCATTGTGATCTGAAAGACGTCGTCGGCAACTTCTTTTTTTGTCATCAAACTCTGACAGAGCATGGAACCTTCAACATGATAATTCAAGTGAAAAACTTTTAACCAATCTATTTAACATGTCCGACAAAGACAGGAAAAACAATCTGACAGATTTATTCTTACTCATATGTGCAATATTATTTTTACTCCATGTCATTTTAATGAGAATAATCAGAAGTTTCTTGAGGTGTACCTGCTACATTGCTGGCAAAACCGACGTTCCAAACCAGCTATAACCACCTTTGGGGACTTGGAATGAGTTTCACATACTCTGTGCTTGCGATGGTAATCTTTAGCGACCGAGAGGTCAAGGCCACATCCTTCCACCTGGCAGCTTGGATGCTGCAAATTCTGACTACTGGTTTTATACTTCTTTCCTGATGAAATGGGAACATCAAAGGAAGATGGTTTCTTGGGATCACTTCCTGCACAAACATCCTCAAAGTATAATCGTTTGCCGAGCTTTAGAGTGAGCAATGGTTCACCAGAGACAGGAGACGGCACTGCTGCTGGAGAAGTTTCAACTGGCTCTCCATTGCACAATTCTTTCTTCCCAGTGGAATCATCCTGAGAACCTTCCAGAGTCAATATAGATGCCTTGCTATCGCCGTTTGATGACGAATTGTTGGAAGCTGATTTTGAGCTCCTTGATGAGGAAGCATGTATTAGCTCAGAGCCAGAACAAGCACTACCACCTGATGGATACAACGCCCCAACATTGATTTCTTGATCTGCTTCGCTACAATTGTTAGGTTGTAATCTGGGATTTTCAGTGGCTTTTGCATTGAAGAAGAATAAGTGCTCCCAGTCCCATTGCCCGAGAGATTTTGCATTCCACTCCATGACAAGACCTTAGAAATTCATATACAAAAGGTCACCTTGATCTGCAAACTACAATAAAAATGTTAAATGTTAACTGCTTTAGTTTCTCCAAAAGCAAAGCAAAATCATGCAAGATCCTATCAGAGAGATTAAACAAGTCGAAGAAATCACAGATACTGGAATAGTGTCTGCCAGAAGGAAAAAGCACCAGGAATACCTGTATAAATGCAGTAGACCAATGATTAAAAGCCGCATATTAAGAATCTAAATATTTGTAAAGCAGCCCAAATTTTAAAGAATCTATGAACTGCTAATTCCTAAGGGAAAACATCTCAAAGACAACATTAAATCGCTTGTTCTAGCCCTGTCTCAGCTGTATTTCCTGCTAGACCTAATGCAGAAGCAAACCATAAACTTAAACAAGCAAAGAAAATATCTTGACAGCAAAATAAGTACATAGCAAATAGCAAGCAGCAAGGGTAAATTAGTTTGAACAAATTGTTTACCAAAGGCAAATTCCGAACCTGAGATGCCCCTAGGGGAATTATCTTGTTTACAGTAACTGAAACAAAGAGGCTAATTACACAAATCCAACAAATCCGTGGACTCCACAGTGTTCTGCAAATTCCGTCCATAACTTTACAGACAGATGAGTGGCTGTATTTTAGTGTTGCAAGATTTCTCATGCTGATATCAAGAAGTCCCCACCATTAAGGGTGAGCCATTTATTTATCTGAGTTTAATAGTCATGCACTGATAGAGTAAAACAATTTTACACAGTCATTAAATCACAAATTACCATAAATAATAAGTTTGTTAACTTTTACAATAACTATCTTAAAAGTCATACAAAGTGTAATTTTGATTAGTTCACCGTGTAAAAAAATTTATATGACAATGCATAACCATTAAACCCTCTATCTATTGCCGCGGTGAACTGAAAAGAGTGTACTAATTTCCCACCATAGTCAATTTGTGTCCCTGTATATAGCTACTAACAACTACAATTTTATTCCCTCGCCTACAAATCTAACCTCCATAAACATTTATAAGGGCATTTTATAATTTATTCATTCATAGATAGCAATAACAAAAAAAGGGCACCAAGCCCTATTAATGTTATATGCAATGGACTGCCCCTATGATGTGATATGTTTAACTCTTTAACTCTTCCTACAAGTGTGTACTTACCACCAAAACTTCCCTTTCAACATGGGAAACCTTCAGATTCCAATAATTCACATTTATCACAGCAATGTCAGGAGTCGGTCATTGAATGAGACCCCACAACAGCAACAACCCAACAAATCATGACTTCTTGACTTATCAGAACTTCCAACACTCTGGCCAACACACCACAGTTTAGTCCCTTGTTTTCGTTAACAAAAAATAAAGGCCAACAACCAAACCTCCAAACCATAAATGCAAGAAACTCCACTTTTAATCGGAAAACGTCACCAAAAGCATATATGTTACCGCAGCTAAGTTTTGTCCAATGATAAGTGCCAGAAACCAATCAATCCAAACCCCATAAAAAGCATCTCTTTTCTTAGCTCAAAAAATCTAAGGAGGAAAGTGAAGAGAAAAAAAGGCTATTCTGAATTCCCAATCCAATTGCTAGCATTTTACATGCTGGCTTTGGTGCTGAAGTCTAAGCAATTGTGGGAGCCATGGTCAATTCATTAGGTTATAGGAGGGGTCTCTTTTCTTGGGACTTTGCTAGTATATTAAAAAGCTTTGGTCCCCATTCAACCTAAAAAAAGCACAAGTTTTTTCATTCTTTGTTTGTGCATGAGAGAAATTTCACTAAAAAACCAGAGGCATCTATCACAACCTTTCAACAATCCCACTTTCCTAATGTTCCGGGTGCAGAACACTTGTCTCCTTACTCCTTGCTTAGCTGTCTTCCAGTCTTTCTGAGTCTTCCGTGCCGACTGAATCACTAACTCCGAATGGTGGGGAGGGTACCTGCAAAGGCACTCCGACGATCAAGTCAGTGTTCGGCTTAGAGCAATAAATGTGCTAGTGGGAATAGTAACGTACCTCATTTATGTCATATCACCTGTATATTTATAGTGACATGTTTGGGCCTGGTGGGCCTTCATTCTTGGGATGCGGGTAACACGTGAATTAACCTTAACCCTGTCTTAATTTGGCCTGGTGATTAGTATCTTAGTAGGTATCTGGTTTGCCACGTGTTCACCAGTGTTTGATTTGCCACGTGTTCACCATGGGTTTTTCACTATGCTTTCGGCTAGGCATAAGGCCGAAGGGGTGTTCGGTCAAGCTTGGGACCGAAGAAGTGTTCGGTCAAGCTTGGGGCCGAAGGGGGTGTTCGGCCAAGCTTGGGGCCGAAGGGGTGTTCGGCCAAGCTTGGGGTCGAAAGGACGTTGTTGAGTAACTACTATTCTTTGGGTCTTTCCCAAGGGACCAGAAGAGTGTTCGGCCTAGCCTGAGGCCGAGGGGGTGTTCGACTAGGTATGGTGCCGAGGGGGGGGGAGCTGTGGTTCATCGGTTTGGGCCCCCCTCTCGGCCTATCGTCTGACCGAGGGGGTGCCACGTGGTATTACTCTTCGGTTCGGGCCCCCCTCTCGGCCTATTGTCTGACCGAGGGGGTGCTATATGGTGTGGCCCTCCGGTTCGGGTACCCCTCTCGGCCTATTGCGTGACCGAAGGGGTATCCACCGGTACA